CCACCCTCGGCTCAGAATGGCACATTTAAACAGCTAACGAGTTTGGGGGAGCATGGAGGGAGGACATCGTCAATTGATGGTGGGGACGAATCATGCCGTCCCAGGCTGCAGGGTGGAAGGTGCCCTTACCCCGCAGTCCAGCGGTTCCAGCCTCTGTATGTGGCCTGGGAGACTCACCTCCAGGCACATGAGGAGCAGGTAGCATGCAGATGCAGTGGGGTGCTGTGTGGCCACTGACCTTGGCAGATGGGGCCGGGACACAGGTGGCACCAAGACAGTAGGGTAACTCCATTTGCCTAAGGTATTTACTTCGGAGGAAAAAATGCCATTTTTTTTTTTTCTTTTAATAAAATGCTACTGTTCGTCACATCAGGGCTGCAGGTGTAGAGTGTGTGCTTCACACCTGTAGAGTCCTGGGTCCTGTGCCCAGCACCGCAAAAATGAATGGCTTCTGTCACCGTGTGTGGGGAGGTGAACCTGTGGGTCTGATACTGAATGGAGAGTAGTCCCAGCAGCTCAGGAGGCTGAGGCAGGAGGATCGCAAAGTGGAGGCCAGCCTCAACAATTCAGCGAGACCCTGTCTCTAAATAAAATATAAAAAGAGCTGGGGACGGGGCTCAGGGGTTAAGTGACCCTGTGTTCAATCCCTGGTACCCTAAAAAAAAAAAATCCAGGTAGAAATGTAGAATTCAGTGAGTTTATTGACTTCCGTCACTCCCAGACGACACAGGCCTGAGGCCTGCGGCTTGCGTTTGACACCGTTCTGTCCATGTGTGTAACCAACAGAGTCCCCCAGCAGCAGACTCAGTGTCCCCTCCTTGGTAGACCCAGTTTTCAGGGTCATCTTGGACCCCGCGGGGTGAAATTCTGCTTCCTGAACCCCGGGTTCGCGCGTGGTGGTGGGTGGCCCCCGTCGGGTCGCTGTCCCCCGGCGCCTGCCCTCGGTGCTCAGCCCCTGTGCTCCCTGCAGATCTGGGACACGGCCGGGCAGGAGCGGTTCCAGTCCCTGGGCGTGGCCTTCTACAGGGGCGCCGACTGCTGCGTCCTGGTCTTCGACGTGACGGCCCCCAACACCTTCAAGACCCTCGACAGCTGGAGAGACGAGTTCCTCATCCAGGCCAGCCCCCGCGACCCCGAGAACTTCCCCTTCGTCGTGCTGGGGAACAAGATCGACCTCGAAAACAGACAAGTGAGTGCTGGGGACGGCGGGGGTCCCCACCCAGGCTCCCTGGGGACCGCGAGGGTCTGGGAGGTCCTTGGCTGAGGCCAGAAGGGTTTTGGCAGGTGCTGGCAGAGCGCTCAGAGACGGGGTCTCCCTGAGGGGCTCAGGGCCTCACTAAGTGGTCGAGGCTGGCCTCCACTTTGCCGTCCTCCTGCCTCAGCCTCCAGAGCTGCTGGGGACGACCGACCCTGAATCCGAATCCTGGAGCTGGCTTCATCTAAGATGTCCTGACCCCTTAAGTGTTCACGGGGGGCGGAGTGAAGACATGAGGGGCGGGACTGCAGGATTCTGTGGCCCAGGGGACACCACGTCAGGACAGGCGGCTCGGGAGGCCCTAGCAGAAGCCCCTCGTTCCCCCCTCCCACCCCCGGGCTGGCTTCTTGCTCCTCTCACAAGTGACTTGAGTGGAGCCAAGTCACCAGCTACCCACCGCGACTGGCTGAGGTGGCGGGGCCGGGCGCTGTGTCAGGTGCACTGCTGTCCCGCAGGTGGCCACGAAGCGCGCCCAGGCCTGGTGCTACAGCAAGAACAACATCCCCTACTTCGAGACCAGTGCCAAGGAGGCCATCAACGTGGAGCAGGCCTTCCAAACGATCGCAAGGAACGCGCTGAAGCAGGTAGGCGCCCCCGCCCCGGCGCTGGCCCAGCCCGGCCTCCCAGCAGCCTCTCTTGGGGATAGCCAGGGACCCCACGTGTGCGCCCGGGGAGGGGACATTGATGTGCTCCCCTTAAGCCGCCAGATTCCACTGTTTTGTGAATCATCTAAAACCTGCCAAAGACCTGGGGCAGTGGTGCCCACGCCTGTCATCCCAGAAGCTCTGGAGGCTGAGGCAGGAGGATCCCAGGTGGAGGCCAGCCTCAGTACTTTATCAAAGCCCTCAGCAACTCAGCGAGACCCTGTCTCTAAATAAAGTCTAAAAAGGGCTGGGGACGGGGCTCAGGGTCCAGTGCCCTCTGTGGCTCTGTTCACTGTGCCAGTCTTCGGGTGGTCTGTGGCCACTTACACGGCCCCTGGACCCGTTGAGCCCCTCACCCCCTTTTTACTCATTTGTTTATTTATTTATTTGGGGGCCAGGGATTGAACTCAGGGGCACTTACCCCCTGGGCCCCGTCCGGGCCCTTTTTCTATATTACATTTACAGACAGGGTCTCGCCGAGCTGCCACAGTCTCACCTTTGCTAAGTGGCTGAGGCTGGCCTCCAACTTGCGATCCTCCTGCCTCAGCCTCCCAAGTAGCAAGAATGATTTGCATGTGCCACCGCCCCTGGAAAGTTGGGGATTGAAGGGGGGTTGGGGGACTGAGAGGGCAGAGTGGCCTGGTCTCTGTATGCTCTGTGCGCCGCTGCCACCTGGTGCCCTGAGGGGACCCCAGAGTCGGCCTCCTTGTGGTGGGCCCTGGGAGCGCGCCCCTGCGTCACCGGCGCTCTCCCCTGCCCAGGAGACGGAGGTGGAGCTGTACAACGAGTTCCCGGAGCCCATCAAGCTGGACAAGAACGACCGGGCCAAGCCCTCGGCCGAGACCTGCAGCTGCTGAGGGGGCGGCGGGCGCCAGCACAGAGTCCTCACCCCAGGACACACAGGCCTTCACCCCCGAACAGCAGGGCCCTCTCCCCCGCCGCCACCAGAGCCCACCCCTCACCCCCCACACACACACCAGCCCACCTCGGTGCGGCTCCTGGGGGGCCACGGCCTCCCGTGAGCCCTTGCGGCAGCAGGACAGGCCCCCCCACTCCGCCCTGGCCCAGCCGCCCGGGAAGCTCCTGCGGTGTCGCCCACTGGAGAGGGGACTGTTTACAGTTGATCCGTGTCTCATGAGTCACCTGATTTTTTTAAAGGCCGTGTGGTCCCCACCCCCACCCCACAGGCCCCCCCGGGTCGGCTGGTGCCACCACGTCCCCTGGCTCCCCACCCCGGCCAGCCGGCCAGGCCACCTTTTATACGCCGCCTTCGCCTCTGTCCCTTGAACTAATCAGCTCTTTCTACAGTGTCCACTTATTATGTCAGGCTGCCCCCCAGAGGACCCCAGAGTGACATTCATATATGCCACCCGTGAGACCCCCGCGCGGAATCAGTGCAACCCGAGCCCCGATGACGTGTCCAGGTCCCCGAAGGCCGAGGGTCGGACCCCCCCCTTGTCCCATCTGGATGGCAGAGCGCTAGAGGCTCCGAATCCGGGCACCCCGCCCGCCCCCGCTTAGCGACAGTGTTGTGTACAGTGACCGCGACAAGGATGACGGACGCCTTTTCTTCTCAAAGACTCGAGCCAAAACCAGATAAGCTCCTCACCTCTCCAGAGGGAAACCGCTCTAGATCCTTCTGGGTCGAAATCCTCTCCCCCCGCACCCCGAAAGGTCGATTCGCCCCCGCAGTGTGCAATGGATAAACGGCTGTTATCGCAAACGACAAGTGTCGCTTTCCTTCTCTTTTTTATTGTTATTGTTTCTTCTTTGGCTCTTCCGCTCCACACTTGAGACCCCCGCTCTGTCCCCCTCCTGCAGATCAGCATCCGGCTCCTAAGAGGGAAGCAGAACCCCCCGATCTGCCCTCCTAGCCGTTCTACCTTTGTTCTAGAAGGCTCTCCTTTCAGGGTTGTGGTCTCCTCAGACCGGCAGATCTTCTTCTCCTCTTTCTCTTCCCCTCCGTCTCCCCTCACGGGCGCCCTCTGTGAGCCCACCCGTCCCCCTTGGTCCCTTGGTTGGAACCCGGCAGTTGTGCCCCTTCCCAGGACCCGCCCCGCGTCGTCGTAGCCTGCTTTACCAGAGAGCCTCTCCCCTCCAGAGGTCGACATCTTAGGTGTGGGCCGAGTTCTTCTGTAAAGAGATGAACGTGATGCCAATAAACGTACCAAGAACAAACCACGGTGCCTCTGCCCTGTCTTCTTTCCTCTCTCCACATCCTGGCCCCGTGGAGACCGCCATCCAGAGCTGGGCACGTGCTGGTGCTTGGGGACAGACGACAGGCCTCCTGTGCCCACTCGTGTCCCGGGCGCAGTGGTGCAGACCTGTCATCCCAGCAGCTCGGGGAGGCTGAGGCAGGAGGATCGCAAGTTGGAGGCCAGCCTCAGCCACTCACCGAGACCCTGAGCCACTCAGTGAGACCCTGTCTCTAAATAAAATACAGAAAGGGCTGGGGACGGGGCTCAGGGATTCAGCATCCTGGGTTCCATCCCTGGGACCAGAAAAAGGTTCAGGTTGGGGTGGACAGGAAAAGGGACACTCTCAGGGCACAGAGTGGCTTGTCCCTCCTTGCCCTCCTGCTTTACTGGGGGAGGAGGGTCCCAGGGAAGGTTCCAGAGAGTTCCATCCAGGTCCACTTCTGGACTTGTGACTGACAGCAGGACTGTGTCCGTCCCCACCGTCTTGTCACCTGGAGGGGAGGTTTTGCTGTTAGGACAGGTGAAACATCCGGGAACTCCGGGTCGCTCTGGCCCCACTGTCAGGTTCTGATCAGTACTTGTTCTTCCGGGTTTTGCGGTTGGGGGACTTGGCTCCCAATGATCATCAAATCTCCCTGAGTCCTAGGAGCCGGTGAATGTCACAGAAGACCCCCCCCCTTTCAGGATAACTTGTGACCTCACCGACACTCAGGCCTGCATTTCTCCTGCAGATGGCACGCTGTTGAGGAGTGTGACATCCTGTGGACTTGAACCAGGAAGAGCTGGGGGTAAATTGCTTTTTAAAAGAAAGCATGTGGAGCAGGTTGCGGTGGCACACAACTGTCATCCCAGCTGCACGGGAGGCTGAGGCAGGAGGATCGGGAGGCTGAGGCAGGAGGATCGCAAGGTGGAGGCCAGCCTCAGCAACAGTGAGGCCCTGAGCAACTCAGGGAGACGCTGTCTGTAAACAAAATACAAATTAGGGCCGGGGATGGGGCTCAGGGGTTAAGCAACCCTGGATTCCATCCCCGGTGCCCCCAAAACACTTTTTAAAAGGAAGCCTCTACCTCCCGTTCCTGCCACCCATGTCTGTCATCTGTCCAGGCTCGGAGCCTCTGCAGGGTTTGCTCTGGGTCTGGGACAGAAAATCAAAGGGAGCTAGCGCCCCCTGGTGGCCAGCCTGGTGATAGAGCGACATAGTGGGGAAGCGGTCCCGAGCCTGCTGTTCCCCTGTGAGCCACAGCCTCTTCCCGACGCAGGAGGATCCCAAGTTCAAGGTCAGCCTGGGCAACTCAGCGAGACCCTGCTCAAAAGGAAAAATACGAAGGGACACCCTATCTCCAGATCACAGCAAAAAATAGCAGCTCACTGACAGCCAGCTCTCCTAGTGGCGGCAGATGCATACCTGCGGTGGCAGCTTTCACTGAGCCAGGGCACCCTGGAGCACAGTAGTGGGGCGGTTGGCCCTCCTACCGCTCTTACTAGAAACCATTGTGGGGTTTTGTTTTCTGGTGCCAGAGTTTGAACCCAGGGCCACTTAAGCCCTGAACCCCGTCCCCAGCCCTTTTTCTATTTTATTTAGAGACAGGGTCTCGTTGAGTTGCTTAGGGCCTCGCTAAATGGCAGAGGCTGGCCTCCAACTCGAGATCCTCCCGTCTCAGCCTCCCCAGCTGCTGGCATGACAGACACCACCGCGTCCATTCACCTTTGGATCTTCTATTGGAAATCTGCGCAGGGTCTCTGGCGGGAGGGAACCCCAGGTGGTGTGGAATGTTCTTTCCGCCTCCTGGACGATGATCAGAGTGTGTCACACTATTTCTGTGAGGGCCTGGTGCTGACCTGTGGGAGGGAGGCAGTCCCCAAAGCAGGAGTGTCCTCCCACGGGCTTCTCTCCTGGGAAGGGTGGATCTCCAACCTTCCAAGCTGGGAGCTCTGCACTGAGCCCTGGGGAACATGCCCAAGGCACACCACCCCACCCACCCCAGGGAAACAAAGCTCGCCTCTCGGGGTCCTGCTACACCCAGGACCCAACTCCCAGAGACTTGGCTCAGTTCTGATCCCGCTCCCCTCTCCCGCCTTAAAGCCACTGGAGAAGGGGCCCGAGCCAGACACGGTGGCGCACGCCTGTCATCCCAGCGACTGGGGAGGCTGAGGCAAGAGGATCGCAAGGTGGAGGCCAGTCTCAGCAAAAGCAAGGTGCTGAGCAACTCGACGAGACCCTGTCTCTAAATAAAATAAAAAAAGGGCTGGGGACGGGGCTCAGGGGTGGAGTGCCCCTGGGTTCAATCCGTGGTAGAAAAAAAGAGTAGGGGCCCGGGAAGCGACATGGTGGCTTTGTGATTAGCGAGTGTGCGAAGCAGTAAGTCGCTGGATGTGGAAAGGGTGCGCTGCGCCGTGGTCGGGGCGCTGCCCTGGCGCAGCCGCGGAGCGCACGGCTAGGAGGGAATGTTGGGTCTCCATGGAAACCAGGGGCCTGGCAGGGCGGGGCCGAATCCTGGTGAGCGGGGTGTGTGTGGGCGGGGCCTATTCGACGGGGGCGGGGCGGGAGCGAGGCGGGGCCGAGTCATTATGAGAGGGTGTGTGTGGGGGCGGGGCCGAGTCGACGAGGGCGTGGCGTGGCCTAGTCGGTGGGGGTGTGGGCGGGAGCGGGGCGGAGTCGGCGGGGAGTGTGGGCGTGGCCAAGTCGGAGGGGCGGGGCGTGTACGGGCGGGGCCGAGTGGGTGAGATGCAGTAGGCTTGGCCGAGGAGGCGGGGTCGAGTTAGCGATATTACGGGCGGGGCCGAGTGGGTGAGATGCAGTAGGCTTGGCCGAGGAGGCGGGGTCGAGTTAGCGATATTACGGGCGGGGCCTAGTAGGCGGGGTCTAGTAGGCGGGGGCGGGGCGGGGCGCGCTCCTAACGTTTAACCGCCGCACCCGCCGCCCGGGACCTCAGTTCTCGCTGGAGCAGCCACCGCGCGCTCCCCGGTTGGGGCCGATGCGGGGACTTGCCCTCTCCCCTCCGGGGTGGCTTAGGGGGCTAGGAATGGCCACCGCTGCTTCCCCCTAAAACAGAGACAGCGCCGTCCTTGGGCGGGTCCCCGGGGTCAGCCCCCCAACGTCTTTCCGATGACTTTTCCGGGATGTCCCCAAGGACCTCAAAACCATTCATTTGGAAGGCGCAGGGCGCTTCTGGCCGCACCGCTGTGTCGTGGGTCATTTGGAAACTACCCCCCCCCCAAAAAAAAGGGGCTCCCCCCGCAGATCCAAAGTGGCCTCCCGATCGCAGCAAACTTGGGTGGCCCGCGGGGTCACACCCGCTCCAGGCCACCTTCAGGTGCCCAGCGAAGGCACCCAGCAAGGGCAGGGCTGGTGGGGGCGGGGGGTTGACCTCCAAGCCACCAAGGTGTCCGGCCCTTCTGCTGGCATCTGAAGAGCAGGAGGGTCACGAAGGTGACCTGTGGCTAGAGCCTGCTGTCTCTGTCCCTGTCCCCACGCAGAAAAGACCAGGCCCCTGTGGGACCTGCGTATTTCATTTATTCAAACAAATGTTTATTGAGCATCTACTGTGTGCCAGGTACAGAGGACCTCCTGGGTGACCCACCAACAAGCTGACCTTCTGGTGGGGCCAGAGAGAGGGGCCGATAAATGGGGCAGGGGGGACGGGGACTCCAAAGAGTGATAAGTGCTATGAAGGACAAACATGGAAAAGTGATAAAGATTGGGGAAGGGTCACCCTACTTCAGATGGGGTGTTTCGGGAGGGCTTCTTGGAGGAGGTGACATTAACTAAAGGAATGAGGCTTGTGAAAGTCTTCGAAGAGAGAGAACAGCAGAGCAGAGTCCTGCCCTGGGGACTGGCTGGACTGTCCAGGGGACCCTGGGGGCTGGCTGCGCTGTCTAGGGGACAGAAATAAAGCCACCAAGGTGGCAGTCCAAGACTAGACTCCCCCCAGCCATTTCCAAGCTGTGGGGGGGGGGCATGGGATTCTATTCTAAATGGGACGGGAAGGAAGTCCTGGCTGACAGTGTGAGGGGACAGGGCCACACCCACAGAAGGTTCCAGAAAGCCCTTGGGCTTTGAGGCTCTGACAACAGAAAACTCACCCAGAGACTTCCCCAAACCCCGGGGGGGCTGTTTCCAAGTGAGAAAGGGCACTGAGGTCCCTGGTGGTTGTCCCAGGCGGAGTGTGCCACCCCCCCTATGTCCCCCAATGTGGCTTTTGCCGCCTCCCACCCTGTGACCTCCTGGGACAGGGGCCAGATCACTGGACTGGGAATTAGACTTGGAGTATAATCCCCCCCAAACCCGGGCGGGCCCCGGCTCTTCTCTGGACCTCAACTTCTTCATGTAAAATGGGGACACAAGGGGACCCTGGGGACTCTAAACCATTTCTCAAGGGCCACCTCAAAAAGGAGCCACCTTGTTTCCAGGTGGAAGAAATGAACAGATTTGGGCGGGTCCCGTGGGGCAGCGTCCAGGATGGGGGGTGGGTTGGGTTGGGGACATTGGAGGGTCACTTCTAGTTTGTCGTCACGTTAACACAAGACAGGCAAGGTCTCTGGGGAAGGGGGACAGCCACGTCCCTGGGGTGGAGGGCATCTAATGAAACAGAAAGGACACTGCGGAGGGCGGGGGACAGCCAAAGATAAAGTCGAAGAGGTCAGCAGGGACCCCGGAAAAGGGGGCTTGGGGTGCCAGGTGGCTGTGGGGGCTGGGCAGGAGGAGAGCGGGGGACCCAGCTGTGTCCCCTGTCCCACCCCATAGTCGTCTGGCCGCCTCTCTGTGGAGAAGACTCTAGTGAACTGAGCATGGAGAAAGGGGCAGTTGGGGACAGAGGGTGGGCGACAAGAGATGGGGAGAGGGCCGGGGCGGGGGCTGACTTCAGGTGGCCAGGGACACCCCCCGGGTGGCTTTTAAGTGGTCCCCTAGGTGGCCAGGTCCCAGGAAGCTCTTAGGTCTTCAGACAAGGTGCCACCCAAGGAAGGGCCAGGTGGCCTGGGGGACCCAGTGAGCAAGCACTTGGAGTTGGGTCCCTGGGGGGGCCGCTGGCCTGAGGAGGGGGGACCAAGGCGCCTAGGCCTGTCCCCTGACCTTGAACCCCGTGTCATTCATTCAACAAATATTTATTGAGGGCCTACTACGTGCCGGGCCGGGCATGTGCAGCCGTGGGAGGGACTAGTCCCCGCTCCAGTGGGGTGACCCTGGATAATTTCAGAAAGTGGTAAAAGCAGACCTAGAAAGTGGCCTTAAGGAGCGGGTGTGGGGCTGTGGGAGGGGACACTGTTGGGAATCAGGTCACCAGCCCAGGATTTGCTATCTACTCCTGGTCGGGTGGCGCAGGGGACAGTCCCCAATCTCTCTCAAGCCTCAGTTTTCTCACCTGGACAGTGGAGCTAGGACCTGGGGCTCTGTCCCTGCTGCCAACTCTACTCTCTGGGGTACCCCTAGGGGACGTGCCCTGGGGTGTCCCCTCCTCCTTGTCCCCTGATAACACAGACAAACCAGCCCCGATGGCCCAGCCTGAGTCGGGCCTCGGGGACACTTTCGTTGAAAAGAAGCTGGTTTCTCTTTGTCAGGTTCTGTCCTGGTGCTGGGCCCTCCCCAAGGTCCCCCGTCCCCTCCTGGGTCCCCTGGGAAGATGTCCTATTCTTCCAGACTTTGGAGGCCAGACGTGACTTGGCCTTGGGGCCCCCAGGGCCATCGGGTCCCAGATCCTGCACATGAGGGAAGCAGAGGCCAGGCTGGGGTGACACTGAGGGGTCTGGGGGGAGCTGAAGTGTCCCATGGAGTCCCCTCCGGCCATCTTCATGCCTGGGAGGGGGAGGTCCTTACCTCCAAAGTGACAGAAAATCCTGAGAAGGCTTTGGTCTGAAGGCGGACAGAGCAGACCAGGCGACGTCCCTGCGCTGTGTCCCCAGCATTCCTGCCCAAGGGTGGGGACAGCAGCGGGAGGTTTCCTAGCACAGAACGAGGCTCAGGGTTCCCCAGGGAGTGTCCCCTGTCCCTCCCTCCTGGCACCCAGGCCCCCAGGCTGGACCCAGGATACGGAAACCAGTCAGAAGCCCGGTGTCACCAAGGGGCCACCAGGGAGCTTCCTGCAGGGCCTGGAGGGTGGGCAGATGGGGGCCCTGGAAGCTTCTGGAAGGCCAATTCCCAGAGACCCTTGGGAGCATGGCAGGAAGGGACAGGGACCTCAGCACTGCTGCAGGTGGCTTGTAATGGGAAGAAGTGTGACAAACGAAGGCAGGGGGTCGGGGGTGCTGTGAGGAGACCAGAAGTGACCAGGCCACAAGTGACCAAGAGCCAAAGAAGGGCTGCTGGGCTGTGTCGGTGGCCCCAGAGAGTGACACACAGCACAAGCCCTGGGGCCCCGCACGCACATGTGAGCGTGACAGAGGTGTGCAGACAGGACAGTCGGGGACCGGGGGAGAGAGGGAGGGAGGGAGAGAGAGAGAGAGAGAG